GCCCCATACCTTGACTCAACGCATGGGGGTTTAGGGTTTAGGGTTTTATATGGATAATGGAAAAGAGAATGGAAATTACTATAATGGGTTATATAAGGATAATGGAAAAGAGAATGGAAACTATTATAATGGGGTTCAGGATGTAGGGTTTAGGGATAATGGAAAAGAGAATGGAAACTACTATAATGGGGTTCAGGATGTACGGTTTAGGGATTGTGGAAAAGAAAAGGGAAACTACAAAATGGGGTTCAGGGTTCCAAGCTTTAGAAAGCCCCAAAAATGAACCCTGTTAATGGTTGTTGGTGGTGGGGACAGTGCCTATAGAGGGTCTCAAAACTATGGTCCCTTTTGGGATACCCTCTATATCCCGTTTCCCTTCTCAAAGTAGCCATCATGCATGCTTCGCTGCCCGTGCGTTCTACATCCCAAGCCATGTAAGTACTACCACACCTCTTCGAAAACACAAAAATATAGCAAGCTTTGCAGGTTTCATGAACTCGGTGAGGTCCCATGTAATCGCCAACCAGGGTCCAATTGGCGAACAGGTTTCAATCCAAGAAGCAGTGATGACCACAATTAGTATCCTTCAGCATCTCATTAACAGTTGTGAGTGTCTGTAATAATATCATTTTAAAGAGCCCTTCATGTGACCCCTACTATGGACTGTTACTGGGTCGGGGCCGGACGCGAAGTGCAGTTCTCAGCCAGAAGTGCATCTGGGAGAGCGAAGCCTGAGGGCCCTGTAAGAACAAGCACAACCAAGAGCCCAGACTTGTTAGTACTTCCCTTGATTCTAGGCCCCAGGCCCTTAACCAGACCTAAATCATCACCCCCCATATATGTCCAACCGTCTGAGAACAGTTGCTTAAGTCCTCTCTTGGAGGGAGCGTATGGTAGATACGTACAGGATATTGAGGGGTTATAGCAAGCTATAGAAGCAAGTCCCAACGCAAATCTTTAAGCCCCCTGAGAGCCTGCTACTGCTAAGTCTTCGATGAGGAGGGCGAGTCGTTGTCTAGTGCCCCGTAACAGTCCCTGCAATCCATTAATTCCTGTCGTTCTGAGCACCTTGTGCTCTAGACTTTACAAAGCTGCCCAGATTGATTGGTTAGAGGTAAATAGAGGAATAACCGCTAATACTAGCATGCCAACCCTAAAAGTGATACAAATAAATTAATGATATTAATGATAATAGGCTGCGATGCTCCGACGCCTAGCTCTCCGCCCGGCGCACACGGCACTTCGTGCCGCGAGGCGTCTAGTCTACCGGTCTAGCCTTGGACAGCTAAGTCTATCACGAGTGGGGTTTAGGGGTCAGGGTTTTGGGGTTTCGGTGTTAGGGTTTAGGGTTTCGGGCATACTTACTTTGGGGCCTTCTCAGTCCATAACTCGTACCTCCTGTGGGTTATTTGAAGGCCCGGGGTTGCCTCGAGCCTCTGAACCCTCTCTGTGGACGATCCTTAATCTCGGGGACCCCTCATCCCGCTGACAACATGGCGAGCAAAAGCAGGCTCAG